GTGTTCTGCAAAGCGGTCCCCGAGTCTCCGCTTGGTTTCCCCGATGTAGAGGAAGCCACACCGGGTACAGCGGATGCAGTATACCACATTGGCAGATGTGCAGGTGAACATCTGCTTGATGTGGAAAGTCTTCTTGGGGCCTGGGATGGGGGTGAGGGAGGAGGTATGGGGGCAGGTGTAGCACTTCCTGCGGTTGCAGGGAAAAGTGCCGGGTGTGGTGGAGCTGGAGGGGAGTGTGGAGCGGACAAGGGAGTCACGGAGAGAGTTGTCCCTCCGGAAAGCAGATAAAGGTGGGGAGGGAAAGATGTCTTTGGTGGTGGGGTCGGATTGCAGATGGCGGAAGTGTCGGAGGATGATGCGTTGGATCCGGAGGTTGGTGGGGTGGTACGTGAGGACGAGGGGGATTCTTTTTTGGTTTTTATTGCGTGGACGGGGTGTGAGGGATGAGGTGCGGGAGATGTGGGAGACACGGTTGAGGGCGTTCTCATGTGAGACTGCATTTCACATGTATTGAACTAATTTTCGTCCTGCCTTGTTCATTATCACATCAGAGGAATTTACCTTTTCTGTAAGAAAAAAAACAGGACAATTTACAGAATAAGGTTTTAGTTGATGGATGCTTAATTGTGTTTGCAATATCATTTCCAATGTGCTTCAGACTGCAGCCTTGAAACCTCTGCTGTGCTCTGTGAGAGTGTAATAAGTCAGATAGTCACAGGATGGTGAGAGAGAGCTGTGTTTGGAAATGGGATGTTCTGAAGGTCCTTTAAGCGGACATTCTGCATGCTTGACAAATCTAGTCCAGGAGACGTTTTCGGAGTGGAAATGGAATATTTGGACATTAAGACCACTGAATACTACGGTTTAAACACACTGGCCAAGGGGAAGGTGAATGGCACCAAAATCGTTCGAGGAAGTTATTTGTAAGCAGCTAATGTTATATCGTCCTACCCTCAGAGTTCAAGAGTGAGTGGGTTTCAGGAACTGGTAGAAGTGGCATCAAATCATTGCCATGCCCCAGATATGAACATAAACCAGTTTGCCCTCAGCTGGGGTGTTAAAGAGTCCATGGCACTACCTTGGGAAAGAGAATTTCTTTATTCATTCACAGGATGAGGGCATTGCTGACCAGGCAGCATTTATTGCCCAGAGGGCAGTTCAGAGTCAACCACATTGCTGTGGGACTGCAGTCACATGTAGGCCAGACCAGGTAAGGATGGCAGATTTCCTTCCCTGAAGTACATTAGTGAACCCGATGGGTTTTTCCTGACAATTGGAAATGGATTCACAGTCATTATTAGATTCTTAATTCCAGATGTTTTATTGAATTCAAATTCCACCAACTGCCATGGCAGGATTCGAACCCAGGTCCCCTGGATGTTATCTGGGTCTCTAGATTAACAGTCCAGTGATAATACCACTAGGCCATCGCCTTCCCATTCTCCCCAAAGACCTGGTTAATACCTACCCCTCAACCATTATCTAAAACGGATTAGCTAGCCACTGTCCCACTTAAATTTGTGGGATCTTGCTGGACGCACGCTGGCTGATCATTAGATAAGGTGCTACGTGTCAGACAGTGGTCAAGAGAAATGCTGTATAAATGCACGTCTTTCCAGCAGACACTATATCATGTCTGTTCTTGCTCCCAATAGAGACATAACAACATGAGTAGGCCATTCAGCCCCTCGAAGAAACTGCTCTGCCATTCGGCTAGATGGCTCATCATCTCCCTCAACATCATTTTCCTATGTAATCCTTGATGTTATTAGTACCTAGAAACCTTCCACCTGTATTGGGAACAGAAAGACTGAGCCTTCACAACTCTCAAGTGAGGAAGTCCAAAGATGCACTATCTGAAAAATTGCCTTTTCACTTTAGTCTTGTATCCGAGGAACTCTTCATGAGTCTGCTCCTGGGCTGGGTCAAGGTGGCCATAAACAGCTTCAGGTAGAGAGGGGTTTGTCCTGACTGCCTGGGCCCCTTTCTGCAGTTTCATGTACACTCAGGTGTCCCTGGACCATGAGTGTTCACTAAAAACCCTGAGTGCTTCTTTTACCAATGAGCACCACAGGGGCTGGTGCTGCCTTCAAAGGCCAGAGCATTGAGTGGAGGAGTCAGGAGGTCATGTTAAGGTTAAACAGGACACTGGGTGGGGGAGGGGGCAGTGGGGGTGCTGCCTTTGTAGTACTGGGTCCAGTTTGGCACAGTGGCTCAGTGGGTAGCACTACTGCCTCACAGCGCCAGGAATCTGGGTTCAATTCCACGCACCCCCCCAACCTCCGGGTGTGGAGTTTGCACATTCTCCCCGAGTCTGCGTGGGTTTCCTCTGGGTGTTCCTGTTTCCACCCACAATTCAAAGATGTGCAGGTTCGGAGGACTGGCCATACTAAATTGCCCATTGTGCCGAGGCATGTGCAGGTTAGGTGGATTAGTCATGCAAATGCAGTGTTACAGTGATGGGGTTGGTCTGGGTGGCATGCTTTTTGGAGGGTCAGTGTGACTTGATGGGCCAAACAGCCTGCTTCCACACTCTAAGAATTCTAAAATTCTGGTTGCTCATCTATAGGAAGGATGTTATTATGGAAAGGGTGCAGCAAATATTTACAAAGATGTTATAGGCACTGGAAGGTTTGAGTTACAAAAAGAGGCCAGGACATTTTTCCCTGGAGTATTGGAGGTTGAGGGGTGACCTTGTACAGGTTTATAAAATCAGGAGGGGTATGGTTAAAATGATTAGCCAAAGTCTTTTCCTTAGGGTAGGGGAGTTCGAAACAAGGGGCCATATTTTTAAGGTGAGAGGAGAAAGATTTAAAAGGAACCCCAACGGACAACTTTTTCACACAGAGGGTGGTTCATGTGTGGAATGAACTACCTGAGGAAGTGGTAGATGCAGGTACAGTGACAACATTTAAGAAGCTTTTGGATGGGTACATGAATAGGAAAGATTTAGAGGGATATGAGCCAAATGCAGGCAAGAGGGATTAGTTCACTGTAAGAAACCTGGTTGGCATGGACGAGTTGGGCCAAAGGGTCTGCTTCCGTGCCGTATGCCTTTATGACT